CCCCCCTCCCACGGGCCGGCCCCACCCCACCGAAGCGGGAGTCGGCTCCCCTGCCCCCCCCCTCCCACAGCCCCCCCTGCCAGCCATGCCCTCCCCCCATGGCCCAGCCTCAGCCTGCACTTAGCGCCCCCCTCGCAGAGCAGACCGCAGTCCAATGGGGCGGCCGCCAGCATTGACTACCTAGCAACTCTCCAAGCCGGACGAGCACCCCCCCCGGCGCATCGCTGCGCACCGTTCCCTCTCCCCAATCGCTCTCCATCCGGTTGTCGGAGCCAAAGCCGGAGCCGGTGCTCTTCTCTCCCACCAGCCTGCCTAGCGCGCATGCGCAGCGCTTTCTGACATCAGCGGGCTCTGAAGCTGCCCTCCGGAAAGCGCAACCGCTCGCGGAGCGGAGCTCCCTCGAGAAGAGCCTCGCGGCGGGGCTGGACGTGCGGGACATGATCGACGCGCTTGTGGTGGAGCGGTTACGCGAGTTTACAAATCTAGGTAAGCCATATTTCCTGGTTTTGAAGACAAGTGGATTTGTTGGAGGTTATCAAAGGTTAGGGCCAGGCAGCCAAGTGCTCTTTGGCACCTGGTTGGCAAGTATGGCGGCATCCTTGCAGCGTCAGGGTCATCGACTGTCTGCTCCTTGCAAGGCTGCTTAAGCACCGCAGCACTTATGACACCACTCGCCTACCTAGTAAAGGTTGCTGTAAGGAACCTCAAATCGGCAACTGAGCTCTGCTTGCCACCCTTGCCTGCCCTGGGTTCATCGTGCCGTTGACCTGCCGTACACACAAGTTGGAAGCCTTTACGCCTCAATCAAGCAAGTGCTGCGCCAAGCATTCGCGCGGTTCTTTATCAACCATCTTACCCCGCTTCTCTGTTCAGGGACATCTGCAGCGCCAGCCACATGGCCCGCCGGCGGCGGAGCTTCGTCCAGCCACGAGGGGGGCCATGGGCCGGGGGGAAGCCCCACAAGCGACCAGGAGGGGGGATCCCTCCGGCCAAGCCACAGGGAGTGGCTGACGAGGCTAGCAGCGGTGCGCTTCTATTCCAAACGTTGAGGGTTTACCTGGCTGTAGATGTCTTACGTCCATATCCATGCCTTTTGAGATTGTTCAGACTCGGATCCAGATTGGGGCAAACGTCTTATTTTCTTGTTTGTTTCTTTGAGGATTGCAGTCAAAGCAGTCCGTGTCACACAACATTCTCACCATGCGATTGTGCTGGTACAGTGTCACATTGAGCAGTATATTGTCTGCACCGGCACAGATCTGCAGACATGAACCCCCCGCTTTGGGCTCCAAAGCAAAAGCCCACCCGCTCACGGAATCTACGAGGGGGTCTGGGTACTCAAGTCTCGCGACGTGACGTGTGCAGGGGCGGGATACGGAGGGTCCCCCGAAGAAGGAGCCGTCGCGCAGCCGCGAGAGTGATGCAGAGGAAGGGCGCAAGAAGCGCAGCCGCTCACGCAGCCGATCGTCGTCGCCGCACGAGGGGCAGGGCGGGCACGAAAGGTGGGGCAGCAGAGCAAATGTGCCTTACTGTGATTGTCCATGTGGGTCGACTGCTGTGTACATTGATGACATGCGGCGTCCACTCCGGTGTGGAGGGATGAGGAACTTTGTTGGTCGCAATTCCTCTTGGAACGTGCTTGGAATGTCACCCGCAAATTCTGAATGGAGCTTCCTGCTCAAGACGGCTTGACCGCTGTCCCGTGTCCGCACTTTTGATCAGCTCTTTGTCAATCAGCCTCCGTCAAGACGAAGTCAGATTTATAAGAAGTGCGGTACATTCCTTGATGCTTTGGTGCTCGGTCGCAGAGGCTACAGCAGTAAAGAGAGACCAGATTAGCATCGAGCAATTATCGAAATGTGAGCTTAGCGCAGAGTTGCGCTCGCAGTCACGTCTAGCAGTCAATCGTTTTTGTTTGTATTTTCAGCAAGTTCCCGAGACGACAAAGCAAAGTGGCAGGGGTAAAAGGCGATCGCTGGAAACCCGCCTCTTCAGTCCGGGCCTTGCAGAAATCCACAGGAACATATCCGGGCTCCTAAGGACGGGCGGCAACCACGCCGCAGGAGGATGACATGGCTTGTTCCTGGGTCTAAAAACGGTCATGAAGACGATCGTTGAAGCTCTGGAATGTCTGAGCGTGAAAGCATCGAGATCCGGACTCTGTACAGTCTCCAGGATTGTGGAGGATACAAATATCCTGATGAGTGCGTTGACTTTGGACGATCAATCGTTCTGTTTGGTCCAAAACACATCGCCTCATCGCCTGGCTTTGCTGCGGCGACCCCGCTCGTTGAGATGCGTCGCTTGTCCCCAAATCTTTCACCACAGTCACTGAAGTTTAAACTTCTGAGCACAAAAGCACCCATGCCCGCAAACGTCTCATCTCCGGACGTTGCCACGCACAGGGCTGGCTTGGTTTAACCTCACCCAACAGGATCGTTTTAGGTCCGACAGGCCGGTACAGCAGCACAAAGCAACGACGCGGATGTCATGAGGATGCAGAAAAGCCCATCAAAAACGCATCATCTCGGATCGCCAGCTAGTCTAATTATGGGACACCAAGCATGCAGGGTGGGCGGCAACCGCGAGGCGGTGCGCAAGTACCGCGAGAAGAAGAAGGTCGAGTTCGCGAGCATGCAGAACCAGCTGGCGCAGCTGCACAAGCTGTGCGCCGCGCAGGACGACCAGCTGCGCCACAAGGTCAGCACTGACGTCAGCATTCACGCACCGCTTTTCTGCATTGGATCACGGCGACTTTTGACCCAAAAGTCACTGCCTATGGGCGGGTAGGGCTCGGTTGCGTTTTTGAATGGGTAGCGGTACGGAGCATGACTCCTGGTTTCGGGTGTGATGTTGAGTAAGGGCGGCCTTGAGCTGAAGTCACCGCGGAGGGACTGGTTCCTTTGCGTGTTTGGGGTGGGTAGGGGTATGGAGCTTGTTGATCTCGGGTTTGCGTTCTCAATTTGTGCGAGCTGGGAGCACTGATGCAACTCAACCTAGGCCCGATATCTACGCAAGACTGAGACGTATGGTCAGCACCGCCGCTTTAGCCCATGTTCCCGACACTGCGCAACGATTGGACCACGGTCGGTGTGCTGTGGTGCAGTCTTGTATTGATTGGAAGACATTCAGTCTGTGAATGCTGAGGTTGAATCTCACTTGCCGTTTTGAAAGAGATAGCCTCGAGAAAGCAGATGTGGTCAAATTGAACGCACTGCTGTCTGCTTTTGAACAGCGTCTGTAGAAAAGAGGGAACACTGCGTGCAGTAATTCCAAAAGATGAGAATCTCGCTGCCCCTGGCGGCCTCTGTTGTCTGTGTCCTCCGACGTGGAGAAATGAGGGGTCTCAGGTACAGGGCTGCCCCTCACGTCCCCAGCGCGACCCGCATGGTAGTCCTAGAAACGGGGCCCATCTTGGCTGTTGGCCATAAATTCAGGCTGGGAATTTTTGCCTTGGTTATGAGACGCAGATTGAGTTTTCGCAGCCCCCGGCCCCGGTCGGCCAAGTGCGCTTATTTTGGATTCTGACCACACGCGTGATTTTGCAGGCGCGCTTGGAGGAGGAGCTGGTGGCCTTGTGGCGGCAGATCGCGGGGCTGCAGGAGAAGGTGTCGCGGGGGCACAACCTGCTGGTCTCGGAACTCTTTGCGATCAAGCCGCCACGGTCGCTGACGTGATGGCGAGCGTGTGTCGACAACAAGCAGTGGTTTTAAATCGTATGTGGGACGCGCGGTGTGTTTGCTACTCGCCAGCTTGCAGCGCTGGCGTTTAAATAGATTGCTCAATTGAACTCGGGGATCGTCAGACGTGCACTGATGCCAAGTGGTGAGAGGTTGCCTCTCCTGTGTGAGAGGGCGACTTGAGAGTGTTCGCTAATCCTATGCACAGAGGGAGTCCAGCGACAGCAAGTTGTTCTGAAAGTACTACGTTACCTATAGAGTTCAGCATGTGTATCAGCCTAAAGCCGCCTAGATTGGTTAGCTATACCCAAGTGTACATTGACTGGGGCTGCGTTGGGTCGTGGTGAACGTTGTTCGCGTAATTGTTGGTCAGGAATCTTGGCTCCCCCCGAGGCACGTTTGTGCGGTATTTTACATGCCAAAGTGCAAGCGACGCATGAGAGAAATGGTCATGGATTCCTACAGGATTGGAATATGAGAGCCGGCTCGCTGCAACCATATGGATCCAACTTTGCAGATTGTATACATCCGATTCTTTTTGCCAGGTCGTGGCCGGTTGAAAGTCCTTGAGCAACATTGTGCCCTGGCACTTGGACGGTTGCATTCGTATGTCAATTATACGTGTATTTGTGTGCCGCCGCAGCACGCGCAAACCCGCAAGAATCGGCTGTAGACTTTATCATGCAGTCCTCGATCATGTGCACATGGCCAATTGACTAGGATGCAAACGCAGGATCGGACATGTGTCTACATACCGTACTGGTACTACAGCTGTTTTGGAATGATGAGGCAGCGCACACGCACATATATACTGCAGGGCCAGCTTTAACTTGCATGCACGCTGAACTCACATGTACTTTTCGATCTGACAAAAGTCCCAGGATCGGACACATGAAGTACCTGTCGACCATTGCCACGGCCGGCCCGGCCGCAATAATTGCCTTAAAAAGCAAGTGAGCGATTCGATTACCAAGTATTGGCTAGCCTAACTATAGTAGCGCTAGCCGCAGCGGCCGGCCTAAGTGATCGACCCATGCGAACAGCCACTAAGCTAGGCCGGTATCTACATCTGGCCTGTACCTTTGAATGGAATAACAGTCGATCATGCACTATTCTGAGAGCAGCTACTACATTTGCATGTATGCCATGTAGATCAGGTACAAATCCGGCCTTCAAATCCAACTCGTTTGGGCGGCCCGTGCGATCATTGATGTTGAATCCTCATAAAAGGCTTACCGGCCGTACGAAGCTAGAGCCCTAGCTAGTTACGCTCGCATGATCATGCCCTTTGCTGCGTAATTGGGTCCTCTGCTCACTGCATTCCCTGCATGTCGGGATTGAATTGATTGGGTGGCATCGCTCCCGAATACGGTGTGATTGGCGGCTGCCGTCGTGCACACCTCGCGTATACGACGAGTATGCGCCAATGGTACACTAATTCCAAGATAGTAGCACATGCCTGCAGAGTTCTCAAAGAGAAAGCGTGCATGCCCTGGGAGGCGAAGTTAACACAAGCAATTGTTTCGATGACGCCAGGTCGCATACGCAAATGATCCTTAACTATGCAGAAGAGCAATTTCAGCAAGCGTGGTTGCACGCCCCAACCGTCAAGCGACTCCCCGAGTTGATTGTTCAAAGCCCGGATATGTGTCGCAAGCGAAAGCGCTACCGCGGCTCTAATATAGTACACAACTCCAAGCCGCTCCGTACACCAACCAACTCTGCTGGCTTTGAATACATGTTCCGGTAATGTCCGTATTGTACTGCACACGAGATATCTGTGTTGTATCATAGTGTTTGTTTGGCATCTGGGATGCGTGTCTAACGACAAACGTGCGAAGGCTCGTATCAAGCTTTTTTCCGCACAGCCAGCACGTACTCAGAGTTAAAGCCAGAGTCAATGTCGAAGTCATTCTCAAGCGCGCTCGTGACTGCTTCGGTACATCCCGGTACGAACCGGTCGTGAAGCTCGATGGCCACGGCTTTGACCCCCGCCAGCCACGCGAGCCGATTCACAGCGCTCGGGGTGAATACGCCCTTCTCGGAACTCTGCATGCAGCGCCATGGCACTCGTCAGACAGATTACGGGAACGAGAGCACGGCCCACGCCTGGTACGTCGGAACCGCTCTTCTGAGTCACCTTAGCCGTTTGAGTGAAACTTTTACGTGTTCACTTTTCAACTTAGAATCAGGATGCGGGATGCCGAATTTGTCTGACTTCAAAGGGCTGAACTTCGGCCGCTGGCACAATTCTCACGATTGCGAAGCACCGTTGCGCAGTGTGCTCTGTACAACGTCCGGATCCGGCGACTTTCGTAATCGAAAACGTTCCTACAGGAGGCTGCAAACGTCGGCAATCAATGCCGTCGTCGCATAGTCTGTGTTCATCGTTGTTATTGCCCTTCTGCGACTTCGAATCGTAGATGCAGGGTCTGGCTGCTCCTTTTCCTAATGCACATACTGAAAACAGGCCCAGAACAAGGAACAAGCCCAGGCATGATGACGTCAGATCCACGAACGAGCCGTCAGCATCCTACGCCCTGGCGCCTCACCTCGATGTCGATCTTGGCAAAGTCGAAACGCCCAACTTGCAGCAGGTCCTGGATCAAGTCGATCGTGAGCGCGTTAACACACTCCGCCCCCGGGGGACACGTGTCGGCCTCCCGCAGGATGTGCCCCCACTCGCCGTCCCCGGTAACGGTCACCTCTAGTTGCGTGGTGCGCTGCCAGATGCCGGCGTGCAACGGGACGACGTTGGGCAAGTGGGCGGTGTTGAGCCGCAGCATCGCGAAGTTGTCGGACGCGGCTTCTACGGACACGACCACGGCGTCCGGGAACCTGGTCAAGGGATGGGGTTAGCGTTCAGGTTAAGAAGGAAAATGATTGAAGGCTGTACGAAGTCCGGAAGGAAAAGCGGAGTGAAACCTGTCACCGACACGACCACGGCGTCCAAGAATCTGATCAGGAGCAGGGTTAGGGTTCTGGTTATTACTTAGAGGCTGTAAAAGTTTGCCAAGTACGATTGATGCTTCGAATTGGTGTGAAACTTCTACGAGTTCGACCACCGCGTCCGAGAGGCTGACTAGGAACGCAGAGTTCGGCTTTGGGGTTAAGAAGAGCCATAAGGAGGAGTGAACTGCTGTAAAGGTCCTTGAAACTCTGAATGATTACAAACGGAGCTCAAAGACACGACCCCAAGATCCTGGTTTGGGGGCCAGGGTTAAACTCCGGTGTCAAGGAAAGCCACGTACAAGAACAGGATAAGAAACCGGGAGAAGTAAAGATTCAAAAATGAGGTCAAATGGTTGTCCGGAAGAGAGAGAAATCAGAGAAGCTGTAGAGAGCACCGATCACGTAGTTCGAAGACCCTGAGCAGACGGCGACAGTCAGGCTGACAGGGGAAAACCAATCAAGACTTTCAAATAACAGTCATGCGAATACGATTAGGGCGCTCGGCGTAGCAGCCAATGTCGGGCTCCGTGCTTTGCGACGCTAAGCAGCATCCGGAAAAGGTGTCCTTACAGTGTTTCGAAAGAGTAGATTGAGAACGTTGGAGAAGTACGAACGGGCTTCGTAAATGAGACGTAGAAGCAAGCGCAGTTCTCTTCGACCTCTGTAGCGGGAGCGAATGATGGATGTGGCACACGGTCGGCTTGTCGAGGTCGACATTCGCGCCCGATTCTGCTCCCGAAGTGTTGTGCGAATCTTTTACACGGGATAGAAGGTTGGTTCCAGAGTAGAATCAGTGAAAGCGACCGATCATACCGTTTTGCTGACGCAATTCTTACAAAGTCTGCGCGGCGAGGCCAGCTGTTGCTTCGATCCGTTAGGCAACTCGTCCTAAAAAATGGGACAATCTGGGGAGAATTCCAGCCGAAACGAGATAGACTATTACGCTGACGCAATGCGTACATGTGCCCAAAGACATGCGCCAACGGAGAGAAGTTCCAGCCAAGACAAGATAGGATATCTTGCTGACGCACTGCTTACATGTGCCCGAAGACCTGCGCGGCGAGGCCGATGTTGGCGCCCGCGTCAAGAATGGCGGTCGGCGCGAAGTTCGCGACGAAGCCCAGCTCGACCGTCTCGTACATCTGGCCCAGCACCAGACTGTCCGAAGTGTCCGGCCGGACGTACACCGGAACGACGCACTCGGACGCCGGACAAGGTACCTGCCCGGAACGGAATGACCGGTTTGAGAAACCTCCTCAAAATTCAGGGGCAAAGGTTTTGGCCGACATTTTTTGACGGACATTCACCGGAGTGAAGGGCTCGGACGCCGACAAGGTACCTGTCCGAAAATAGAACCTGGTGTGAGCGGACTGATTAAAGGATGGACATTTGTCCGGGGTGTCCGGCCGGAAGTACACTGAAACGACGCACTCGGACGCCGGACCAGGTACCTGTCCGGTACGGAAATCACCCGTTTGAGAAACCTCCTCAAGACTGAAAGCACACAATCGGGCGCCGGATGAGGGACCTGTCCAAGGATTAGAAGCGATTTGAGGGGCTCGTCAAACTAGTACTAAAAGATACATGTACTCTGAGCTGATCTGAGCTATCACCAGAGAATATGGAGCTGCAAGAGATTATGAGAACTTCCAAAGTCCTCGTTTCTCAAGGGCGTTGTTCGCACCTGCTGTTTGATGTAGCCAACGAGACACACGACTTCCGAACCGGCGCCCAGCACATGCGCCTCGTCAAGGGCACGCAGCTCCGGCTGGGTCAGCCAAGAGTTGTTGAACAGCCACCTGGCAGTGAGGGATTTGGAGATGAGGGTCACGGGTCAAAACAATCTTCTCAGCTATTGCGGGCCGGCTGTTCTGTGCGATGCACTGATTGAGCGGAGGGGTAAACGTTGCATAGAAGTTGTTGAATAGCCACCTGACAGCGCCGATCTGCAATTTGAGTTGGAGTGCTCAAATGGGCGTCTACGCAAATATCATCACCGGGCCACTTTTAGACACGGCCCAGTGCTCGGGGCACAAAAGATAGCAAAAAAAAACCAATCTGTGGCGTCAGGATACCAGAAAGGTTATGCTTCATTGTTGCTATGCGACGTCAGGCTAACGGTCCCCGCACGCAAACTCTAAGGTGACGGAATCGAACATTTTTACTCACATTCCGCGGAATTGTTGAATGGAGTTCACCCACTGAGCTGCAGGGTAAACTGTCTAGTAGCATCCTGTTTTATGAATGACGGATTTGTGTGGTGACTTTCATAAGTGTTCCGTCTGAACTGGGAAACTCATGTTAGGGCGGCTTTGAAAGTCCTTTGAGTTGTTGGTTATGTTTGGGCACTCTCAAGATGTGGAAAGCAGGAAACCGATAGCCGTAAAACCTTTGTTTCTAAGAAGAGGCTCCTTTTGGAAAGAGCCAGGAGACAACATATAGTTTCTGAGAACGATAAGGGCTATAAACGATACCTCCAAGCCCAAGGGACGGTTGGAGTTGGCTTGGGGGTTAGGGTGGGTTTGGTGCGAAGCGTGTGAGTATACACGTTGAGGGTTTTGGGTTCGTTTTTTCTCAATAGAAATTACCTGTCATTATGAAGCTGAACATGAACAGAGAATCGAAATTTATGCCAGGAGAGCCACCTGTTTCCGGTGGTAAAGTCGGGCACCCTCGCCAATGCTTCCTCCAGCGCACTTTGCCCCATGCCACACAGGGCCTTCGTCACCGATATGACATCTGGTCCCGCTCCGCCCTTCTTTCCCACCAGCTTCGACCTTGCAAACACGTGGGCGGCGCTCGAGCCCAGCGATTGGGTTTCCTGCCAAGGCCGGAGCTTTGGGGCCGCGCCTAGTTGCTGTGGCTGGGCCTCGTTTTGCAGTAGCTGCTCAAAGTGGCTGTGGGAGGAGATCGCCAATGTGGAAGCGAGTTGGCTCTGCAAAGTGGGGGACAGAGGAGGGGAATGTGAGAAGATAAAAAGGGCCAGGTGGGCAAGGTGGCAAAAGGAGGATGGGATTCTGCAGCTAGATGTGGGTCCAAATGTGGGCTGATCGACTGGGTGGGAAGCATTTTCTGAATGTTTGAAGGATGTTACTCGTTAAAAGGGCGTGACATTCCGAGAGAACCCTTCTTTGATGACATTTATCCTGAATGCAGTGCGTTACATGGTATGTAGGTTGGCACTCAGGGCTGCATAAATAGTTGCAGAGTTCCGACCAGAAATGCTGGCTTACTAAGCTTCACTTCTGGGAATTTTGGCCTAATGGTGTTCATTGATCAGAATGTTAGTCATGGATGATTACTGTTTTTGGATCCTACCGCTCTTTTTGTTCTCTTGGAAGGATGTAAACATAGTGTTTACAGCTCAACTCTTCACCAAAACCTGGCATAAGTTGACTGACTGAAAAAGCCAATTGCCCACCATTATACTACCTCATAACCACCTGGTTTGAGCATGTCCTGTTCTTAAAGAGCAACTCTTATGCAGAGCAGCATTGAGGTTGTTTCAAGCTGATGAAAGCACTCTAGCTCAAGCAAACTCATCAAGAATCCCTTCAGTATCACACTTGCGCCCAAGAATGTTGCATCTTCGCAGACTCTGAAAGAGGGTGCGAATACTGCTCACATCTGCACTGCAGCATTCCTCCCTTTGTCTGAGCCTTTGAAAGAGCTCAACAAAGCATGCGCATGACATCAGCGACGTGTGAACTGGCGCACCTGTGACGCCTCCAGCGCAGTTAGTGCCTGGACCACTTTCGCCAGCTCCTTGGTGACGTCATCAGAGGCCTCCCGTGCCTCGCCAGCACGCCGTCCCTCCACGCAATGCTGTACGCCGTTCGCTGAAGTGAGGAGCTCAGGAACGCGGGCGGAAGTTCTGAAGGGATCAACAGCAGAAGCGCGCACATGGGGAGAGCAAGAAGGAGGAAGGCTGCGGCGGCGCCTTGCCAGCCAAAGCCTTTCCAGACTGCCATGGTGTAGAAGCACCTCAAATCGACGCCCTGGACAAATTCGTCGTAAAAACGTTCTCACGTGTCGAGAGGTTTACGATGGAAACGCGCTGGGTTTCGTCCAAGCTCGATTCAAAGGTGAAAGGAGGCGCAGGGCTTCGCTTTGACAGCAATGCAGATCCAGCAATCTGAGAATGGGCAAAGAAAGCTGATTTGAAAAGTGCTCACAACGACAGATGCGGGCACATGGTGTTGTTTTGAGTCAATTTGACGCTAGTCGCTGGGTAGTCCTGTGCCCTGGCTCCTATCCAGGTCCTACTAATACGCACACACTGTTCAACTTTTGAGTTCATAATTTGCAGCGTCGTTGTCCTCGCTGCTTATACGTCGTCCGATGCGATCGACGAGACGTACGAGCCGTCGATGACCTGCCACGTGTGCTCACTGCAGTGGAACATTCCGGGAACCGGTACCCGATCACAATCTCAGTCTGGAGCATGCCAATTGGCTAACAGTGACACTGGAGTCTGCTTTCATACCTAGCCTCTTGGGTTACCGTATGTTGACATCAGTCAGGAAGACTCAGGATACCCCGGTGAGTTCTGCGACTCTGGGAGAGGGTTACTTTGTCGTTGTAGGTACAGTTGAAACTGGTAGGTATAGGTAGAAGGCACACAAATACCTAATCTGCTTGGCCATCCTGGAAAGTTTGGAGGATTTCAGAAGCACAGGATCGGCGTACCAAGTGAGTCTCAGGTTTTCCTGAAAGGTCCTGTGATATACTCAACAGTTGAACAGTTGAAGTGCAAAACAACTGAATGGCACGCAGATTGGCAAAGAGAAGAAGAATTAAGTGCCCCTTCACATGAGCCAGGTGGTCGAGGCTCTGCGGCATCCCGTTTCTTTGAAGAGATGAAGCATGCGCGGCTGGTGTCACAAAGGGCCTGGATTGCGCTGTGCGTTGCCGCGGGGCTGGCGTGTTCCATTTTCCTGCTGTCGGGCATGCCGAAGGAAGGGAACGAGCTAGCGGCAGGTGGGGCGCTCCAGACAAGTCTCAGAAGGCACCAAGTTGTGAGTCTCATTGTGCTTCGGTTGTGATTCCAGTACAATGCTGTCAGCTCTAAGAGCTGGCAAGGGAATGGTGAGGGGAGAATGGTGATGGCGTGCAGTCCTTCACGGGGGTCATGGAGAAAGTAGGATTGACTGGTTGTACTGAGTCTCTTTCTTCTTCAAGTGGTATGTTATGGTGCGCATAACTTTCTGGGGCATTAGCGTCACAGGGTTGTGTCTTCTTGTGCAATTAAGATCTTGACAGATCTTCGCATTCCATGTCAATATTGTTCTCGTACAACGCAGCCAGCTTCTGGCAGCTGTTTCAACTAATTAACTAACAGTGACTGCTCATACGCAAAGCTGTGCTGATCTTTGGAGGCGTCAGGAATCACGAGTTAGGGGCAGAAGCGGACGTCTCAAGTCTTCAAGAAGTAGATCAATAGTTCCTAGATATCTGTAAGCTCCTGCCTTCATACTAAGATTGAATCTTCAACAGCACCTCCTCTGCACCCATACCCGTCCTTAACCCCAAAGGCAACCCCACCCGTCTTAGGCTGGTTAGCAAACACAATGCAAAGCTCACTGCACCCGAATCAATGTTTTATATCATGTTCCTTTTCAGTCTAAGCGGTCTCTTGCCCCAATCAGGTCTGGGGTGCCTGATCATTCACTGATGTGTCAAAGGGAGATAAAGTTGGATCTCATAGAGATTGTCTGGAGACCCTTCAGCTGGCACTTCACATGACGTCAGCTCACTTCAAACTTGGCCGCTCGCATTGAACTCTTTGTCTCTTTACCAACACTCCGCTCAAGCCCCCAACTCGCAATCCGGGACCTCCGAACACTTGTGAGAAGTAGATGGAAGCGATTGGGCAGTGATCCGTATGTAGATTGCGCTGCAAGCGGCTTGATAGGGAGCTGTTCACACCCGCGTGTACCTACCCATTCATCCTGCCATGCGCAGATCTTGCGGCCCCAGCCATCGCTGACTCAGCGCAGCGCCGACATCCCGCTGGTCATCTATGAGCAGTACCATGACGTCAGCTGCCATCCACACCTCCACACGGGGAACCTGCTCTACCGGGGCCTCAACCAGGTGCGCCCGCCCAAGTCTTGCGAACCTCGCACGGCGCAAATGTTACCGCACGTTTTTGTCCCCTTTCTAAAGCGCTGTGCGCGCGTTTACTTCGTCAGAGAATGACTCTTTCCTTGTGATTTTCTTGTTTTGCAAGGGGCCGATGACAGGATTGGGTTGATTGCGAAAGAGCACGCATTGCTTGCGTAGGACCGAAGCCTGAGCTTCAGATTCTAAAATGAGTTTGAGACGCAGAGGTGGAGACACAGGTCGATTGCAATCTTGATTGGTATTGACCTACTTTGAACTGTGAACGTCGAAGTAGAATACATGAACAATCCAGGCTCGAGAAGGACAGGTTCTCCATAAGACGGGTCGTTCCATGGCCTCTCAGGGCATGGAAGCTATGTCCTGAGCCCCCCATTTAGAATGCAACTGTTATAAAGCAAGATAGAATCCATCAGCCCCTTTGATAAACATGCAACAATCACAACGCAAGACGAGAAATCTCAGACCCTTAAGCGGGGGGCACACTTCCAGTGGACGATTCACCCTTATTTCTGCATGTATCACCCGATCTAGTTATCTAGATATCTAGGACTACGTAGTAGTTCTCTACGTATCCCAACTCTATCTTACGAAACATTTTAATAGGATTCGAACACACATGCCACGTGGCGTTTTGTATCTGACCGCGCTCTGCGGTCTCGCGCAGGCGGCCGGCCAGCTGCGGCACACTGATGACGTGGACGTCCCCGCGTTCTTCGAGATCGGGAACGACGCGTACTACCAAAACTTGCTGTGCGAGTTCACGGGGATCCTGGCGGTCGCCAACGTGCTGAGCCAGGTGCACCCGCACCGCTGGATTGGGTTTCAGAGCTGGAAAGCCACAGAGAAGCAGGCAAGGAAATTTGACGGTTTCTCATACATTTGCTCTTTTGATTAAATTGATACGCTTTGGAGGCGCTGTTTACATCTTTGGCAGTTGGTCACCCGACAGAGTTCATTTCAGATGTGCTCATGCAATTAAGTCAGCTTGCAGATAAGCCACGGAGAAGCGGGCAAGAATATGCGGCCTTTCCCTTTGGGTTCTTAGATTCTCTAGCAGGCCTCCCGGCAGCCGTAAAGGTATTCCAGGGTTGTCTTCAGCAATTAGCCAACGAACGAAGGCCGGCCACCGATGCGTGCGTCTAAGCAAGTAAAGCGATTTTGAGACCTGGAAAGCCACAGAGGAGCAGGCAAGAATACACGCGAAGATTTTATGTCCCTGCTGTGCTGTCTAGTCGTTGGCGCTTTGAAACTTAGGTTCCTTCGGCAGTTGTCCAAACATTAGAGATATCACTTTGTGCTTTGACGTTGTCCAGGGCTGTAAAGCAATGGAGAAAGCAGGCAGAACAACCTAGGCTGCGTGTTTTGCATGCTGTATACGGGACGTCTTTCCAAGTTTCGGCTCTAGAAGCTTGACTCCTTGCCTTTTTCCTCCGTGGTAATTGCGCGAGCTTCTAAAAGTACAGAGCTAAACGGAGAAGGCCAGCGTAATCGCGGTTGTGAGGACCGAACGAAGCTGCTGACGTCATGAGCTTCGCTCTTCTGAACCTCATCCCTGCTGATGAGCAGAGGGCGCTGACGTCAGCATCCGAGGAGGCGATCCTGGCCGCGATCGCGAAGCCGGAGTATGCGGACGCGGTGTTCTTCTGGGCCAACGGGGGCGTGCGCGACCATGGGTGGGGGGACGGGATCCAGGACTTCTACGGGCAGTGCGACTCGGTGCACATCTACTGCAGGTGACGTGGCTGTCCTGCCTCCACTGCAGGCACACAAGCGCCACTTTTTGAATGCAGAAAACCTTGTTCGAAAAGGTTTTGATCGGTGCAAACTGGTTCCGACGGTCTCCGCATTGATCTGTCGAGGTTGCGAGATTTCTGCTGGCCTCGAATGCAGTGACTGATTATGAACGCAATTGATCAGATTGCTGGTGAAAGCATACATTTCGGTAGTAAGCTCAAATCATAGTCAAAACGGCGCTAATACTAACAACGCAAATCCAAAACAATTACCCACTCCGCACCCGTACCCACCTTAACCCCCCATACTAATACTACCCGTCCCAGTTACTACAACTTGAGCTCACCATACCTTTTTAGAGAATGCTGTGAAAGTTGGAAACTCATCTGGGGGAACCTTCGGGATTGCCGTGGTGTTTCGTAACAGGTTGGACCTGAACAGACGTGACGGTACTGCGGCACTGCTCTTCTCGTGGGCTTTCGAATCGATAATGGTTTGGGTCACCAAGGAGACTGTTGGGCCTCACATGTCCTGATTGAGACCATCTCTGCTGACATCACTACCTGCTCATATGCCCAATCATCCATCAGATCAAACAGTCACAATCGCCAATTGAGGCATACCCAACCACTTTCTAAACCATTTGATAGACGCGACCGTGCATGACCGGCCGCCTTTCTTCAAAGGGCTGTGTTCAGGTTCCATGCACCGCCGTTCTACGACCCCTCGGCTCTTAAAGTTGGTGTACTTGCGCAACTTTAAGCGGCCTTTCCCTGTGAGGCTGTCACAGACCGGTGACCGATCTGTCCCATCAACACCTCATCACATTCTTCGCAACGCCCTTCGCTTGTCAAACCCCCTCCCCACCTATCTCCTCAGTTTGGGTGGCGAGCGCATCTTTGAATCTCGAGCCGCTGTCGCTCAGAGAGCTGTCACAGATTTTCAAGTTCTATCTGCGTCTGACACCTATCACTTACTCTGCACCACTTTATTTCTTCCTCACCCCTAGCTTCCGATTATATGTACGAGCGCCCCTTTGAAGCTCGAGCGCTGTTTTAAGTCGAGCTATCACGGAAGTGCCGAAAACCACCTTCATCCGACATATATCACTTCCCATGCACCGCTCAACTCCTCTCCTCCTCACCTCTATTTTTGCGGTTTAGCATACGAGCGAACTTTTAGAGCTCGAGCCGCCGTCGCCCGAAGAGCCGTCACAGACTCGTCAAGTCCTCTCCTCGGCCGACACATATCAGTTCCCATGCACCGTTCAACTCTTCCCCTCACCCCGCTGTTTTTTCAATCCGGTATAGGAGCGCACCATCAAAGCTCGAGGCGCTGTCGCACAAGGAGCTGTCAAGGAATTGTCAACTGCTATCTTTAACCGACATGTATCGCCACGCACCGTTTAACTCATCTTCCCAACCCCCCTCCTTCTTTTCAGTTTGATTCACGAGCGCACCTTCGAAGCTTAGAGCCGCTGTGTGCAATCGAGCTGTCACGGAACCGCCGAAAGGCTAAGTTCATGAAAATACTATCACTTCCCATGCACCGCTCAACTTCTCCCGTCCCCCTCTGTGTCTTCAGTTTGGTGTACGAGCGCACTTTCGAGCTGCTCTTCGGTGGGCGGTTAGCAGACGCCGGATACCGTGGCCCGCCCCCCATGCCCGTTGACGGCGGCAGCTTCATCTTCATGAGCTACTTCGTCATGCGCTCGGCCGCGCTGCAGGAATACGCGCAGCTCGTCAAGTGAGTGGGCTCTTTGTTCCGCTTTTCATTTATGCTCAATCCAAAAGGGATTCTGACATCTTAGAATCAAAGCCCGTTGGCGGCCGCAGCTTCATCTTCGTGAGCTACTTCGGCATGAGCGCGGCAGAAATACGCGCAGCTCGTCAAGTGAGTCATCTCAGAATCCTATCAAGTTTGAAATTCAACAAATTCGATGGAGTCTCATGCCGTTTGCCGGCGATTTGCTTTCATGAGCTACTTCGTTAATTGCTCGGCCGCGCTGCAGGAATACGCACAGCTCGTCAAGTGAGTCTGCTCGGCACATTGTCAAGTCTCAACTGATACAAAGAAGTCGACAGGACAGCATTGACTGCCCTTCCGCGGCGGCAGCTTCGATCACATGAGCTATTTTGTCATGCGGTCTGCCGCTCTGCGTCCTGCGCACAAGCTTTTCTTCGTAATGCACGAAATGCACACTACCACCACGTAACCGCTTCCGTCGATACGACTCCTCAGAAACCGACTAACCCTAAAGGCTAAACCCAAAGTTCCAACCCAAAACCTGCCCAAACGGTTCAGGCTTAATCCAAAGCCTCAACCCTGAAACTGCCTAAGCTGTTTGGGCTACACCCTGAAGCTTAAACCCTCGACTTCTCTCGTTTCCGCGCGCAGGTCTTCCTTTGTACCGCTGGACCGAACGTACCACCGCGCGCACCGCTTCCAACCCCTCAAAAATCAATCCTGAAGGCTAAACCCAAAGCTTAAACCCTGAACCTGCCAAAACCCTGAAGCCTGAATCCTCGATTCCTCTCATCTCCGCGCGCAGGGCGTTCTTCGTCACTCTGGACCGCATGTATTTCCACGCGCACCGCGACGGCCAGTTCTGCATCCTCGCACACGGCAAGGGCGTGCCGGAGCCGGAAGTGCCCGCCGCAAAAGAATACGAGGTGAAGCGCAAGACTCTTATCTGCAAAGGACTGCAAATCCTAACATTGCAAGGTGCAACTTGCATAGTTGGATTCAAGAGCTACACTATAAGAGGGCGAAGGGCGTGCCAGAGCCGGAGGTGGCCGTTCCAAAAGAATACGAGTTGACTTGCGATACCGCTTGAACTCAGCGAAACAGCTGTCTCGCTTTAGAAAAGCCGCTTTGTTTCGCTCTCCCCTAGGAAAAGCGGCTCATTTTGGCAAGATCTGGAGATGCTGGATTGCTGTCAACTCCAACATATTCTGGGGAACATTTGTAGATCTAGCTTTGGGGATTGTTTTGCGCACGTGCTGAGGGACAAATCCAGTCGCAGCCGGCACGTCTAAGAGGTTGAACTTGTCTTCTTTAACCGAGATTTAAAGGAGATTGGCACGAAGCCCGCTTCCCATGCCAATCAAGCTAGTGAAGAGATACTTGGACGGTTGGGACTTTCTAAAGGGTTAGGGTTGGTTGCAGATGCGAGCTTGTGACGCCTAGGTCAAGAGTTGGGATCCAACCGAAAAAGCATTTTCTGTACAATGAATCGAGAAGTACCCTGCTTTCGGGACTGATTCCCGCACCTGCTGACGGCCGTGAGTTACCGTGCAGAGCTTGCACTGCTACTGCTACTTGTTGGAGCGGCTGATCAACATCTGGGCCTACCACTCAGGCCGGCGCATGCTGCACGTCAACGTCGATACGGTGAGCGCAGATGGTTCTTCTTTGCTGCAGTTTCCATGAGTGACCTCCACCTATGTTTTCATTGGTCTCCATCTCAAGGGTAGTCTGTATATTTCGAGGTTTTATGCTTGGTCTTCCTCTGGAATTCTGGATTGAGGTCCACGCTCGAAGCTGCGAATACAGCACGGCAACGCGATCCGGTGAGCGCACACGATTCTTACTTTCTTCGGTTACCCTTCCATCGACCTCAACAGTCTTTTTGTCGTTTGGCAGTTCTTCGCGGTTCTAGATTGAGCATCGATTGTTAATATGGTTTCAGAGCGAAACACGTGGGTGTTCTGCGAATCTCAAAGTTTGTAACGCAGTGCTTCTTGCGCTCAACTAATCACGGAACTGTCTCGCTCGCTTGTGACCTGGATTTTGCGCCAGGAACGCTTCGTTCCATCAGGAGATATCTTGTAATACTGCCAAAAGTGATAGTGAAACCCGTTGTTGTAATTGTGCGCTTGCAGGGAGAGATAACGGAACAGCACCCGGTGGAGCAGCGGGACACGTGGCGCCATGTGTTCCAGGGGGAGGCGCTGTCCCGGGCGCTGAGTGCGTTCGAAAGTGAACTACGGCGGCGGAGCGAAGCGTCCGTGCTGTGGAGTCGTCTAAGTCGATAGAAGTTTACATATCACTGCGTGTACAATAATTGTCGCCCACGTGCATTGCGCTTGATAATCGCGCTCGGGTTGTTATTTACTGAGGTGTTAAGCTGTCATGATTTCGCATGGCTGCAAGGTTTTCTAGGTTGAGAATGCGGCGGTAATACCGATACCTATAGTGCCTAAAGAGTTGTACCTAGATTGTGTTTCCACATGTCGGCAGTCATCCCCTGACCGACCACGAGCATTGAAGGAGCACCGGCGATTGTTCATTGCAGAAGCTTACTAGTGAGGTCAAACTGTGCCCGCTGGTCAACTTTGAGCGAGGCAAACTTCTCCGCAGAGGGAGCCCCGAAATGTACAGCAGACTGCAAGGAGTTGTTACTAACATCTTACGACTTGGCAGTGACCACAGCCGGCTCATTAGTTGTGGACATGTCCCGGTCAACTTTTTGGCAATTTGCGTACTATTTCTTCTCAAATGATTGCATGTACCATGGGCCGTGCACGTTGATACCGAGCATGCAGCGCAAACGCATCCTGGTGTCAGTGCGGTTGTAGCGTGCCATACTCTACAGCTGATCCTCCATTAATTGAAGCTAGAATCCTTGTACGTGACCTGTATGCTCGATCAATTGGAGGTAGCATACCGTACGCCGCAATTGCCGAGCCTGGCTCGAGTCCTCAGCCATGGTCTGCATGGCGTTGACGGTCCACACATGCTCCATGCAAACGCGTGCGCAACTGCTGACTATAGCTCGGCATGCCGTACCGACGAACTTTGTCTGCTTGTTGAATTTTCGATGATGTGCCATGGGATCAAGAATGACAGGCCGGCATTGATAGGGATGCCAGTTGCAAGACGCTCAAGCCTACCGGCACACTCGGATGCACTACGCCACTCCATCTACATCCTGTCATTGGAGTCATCAACCAAGCCGCTGAGGGGGCAGCCGCAGAATAAACTTGAAAGCACTCAGTTGCAACGTCTGACGGCCTACCAGGCGCTGAATATATGCCGCCGCTGTAGATGCAGGCTCGACTCAATCTCCAAGCGCATGACGTGGGATCTCGAACAAAGCACAGCAATGCAAGGTTGGCTCTGAGCTGTCCATCAGCTGGGTCGCGCCTAAGCTAGTGCGAAATTGGCCCGCTTTCAATACCCGTATCCAGATTTAATTGAAGCACGTGGAGATCCTAGACCTGATCATCCCTATTATTGGAGGCAACTTTGACATCCCCGCGTACGAAGCATTGCTGTCACTGCGGCCTTTAAGTGCAAACTTTGACGACTTGAAGGTGCTACCGCTGTGCCAAATGACCACTTGATGACTAAATTCCTTCTTTATTCACAAATTTCCTGATTTATTACACGATCTTGACTACCGTACGTTCCAACTGTTGCTTGAACCTACCTCGCCAATCGGATAATTGGGCGACTATCTTTGAAGACACGACTGCTTCAACGCTCATTAGTTGCGCATGAGATGGAGATTGCCCCCAATCGTTTCTTGTTTGCCAAGTGGCATCCAGCTGGGAGAGACCCCGAGCCAGGTTTCTCCATATTAACCGAAGGCACATGTTTCAATAAGCGACGATTCATAGCAAGACCTGAAAAAGTCCCACTTTGAAGGTCCGATGCATTTGTGTAAGCCTGCACGGGCAGAAGAATTGGTTAGGCCGCCTTCTCAACTTCAGAACCGTGCTCGCTTGCGGACAGACATGTCAACGAATAGCGTGCCTCTCACCAACATCCGTTACGAAAAAGGATTCTTCAAGTTTCTTTTAAGAATAAGCTGAGTAACCACTATTCAAGGTGAGAAGGCTGGTGAGTAGTGCATTCCTTTGAGACTTAAAAGGCTTCGCATTCTCTCACCAACTCAAGTCACCCACCCTTTTTCAGGATCAATGGACTTGGTTGCGATGATTGGAAAGTCAACAACCTAAGCGGAAGCCACATCACCTCTCTGGATGAACACCTAAACTTGGTCCCAAATCTCCGCGTTTCCAAGCTTCGAGGGTGACTCACTTTTCCAAAACGGCTGAAGCTGCATCCTGTTGCGGTTAATTCTGAAATCTCGTACTCATCAGTACCCTCCACATACTCTCGGTGTCGGAAGCCCTCTAGAGTCCCCATCGCTAGGCGCTCTTTGATTGCCCCAGGGGCATACATTTGGCCCAGAAACTGCGATAAGAAAGAGATGGGATCACTGAACTCGAAAGGCAGAGCAAGGAGTTCACAAGTTCATTGTCATTCCAAGCACCAAGGAGAGCGAACATGGCTTCGTCATATAGTGGAACGGACCAGCGTAGGCTCTGTTTATCTTGCTTCGAGTCGAGAAGATCTTTCAGCGATACAGCGAATCGGCTGCGTATAGCCTTCAGTTGCACCTCCTCCACCTGCTCTGCTCAGCTAGGCATCACCCAAACTTGAAAAGTTAGTGAGTTTCAACTTGATTCGTGCACGGGCTGTTCCGATCGAGCTGCATTTGGATATTGCGCGAGCATTCTTTGAGCGGTGCCTTTCGTTTTCAGCAGGCTTTGAAAGCGTATTTGCAAAAGAACGTCGTGATCTGACGTTGCAAGGAGCAAGTCCGCCAAGATCCTCTTTAGCCAACAAGGCTTAGGATGTAAAATATTCTTGTCGACCTCTTATCAGAGGGGAAGCAGAACCTGTGGCTAGGGGCAAGATCTTGACGTCAAGTGGCCCACCTCGACCACGAATTCCAGCTCTACAAGGGGCAAGTAACCTCAACCATGGTGGAAACGAAGCCCTTTTGGAGAAACTTCGATGCATCCTAAGGATTCCAATTTTGCGTCACAAAGCTTCGCTCCGGAATAGCCCAATCATGCTGCCCACTTTCCAGTCGCATGTGCTTTCGTTTGGACGTTTGGGAGCCTCCTTTCCGTTCTATTCTCCCTTCCTTCTTTCTCCGCTTCAACTCACCCCGTGAACAGCAGGCGTTGTGGCAATGTTCTTGAGCTGGAAGTTGACGAAGTAGATGGGCAGGTCAACAATAATCTCCTGCTCAGTTTCCGCGCTGATGTCCATGCTCAAAACCCCCTTGATGTCGACACTCAAAATGCTGGCGTGATCGGGTGAACATGCCAACGCCACACCGCCGTCCTGACTGGTCCACTTGGCACCTTCCTGCGATACCTGGCAAATACCAAGCTGTGCATTTTCATCTGGAAAAACTTGGCACTTTCTAGGATCTGGCCCTGACGATGTGCATGTTCCAGAACCCAGGTACGATTACACAAACACTAGAACTTTTGCAGAAAAGCCGCAAGGCAAGCCTGGTTTCCACTTTTGTGGCAATAATCAAGCCGTGAGTGGGCCAACACTTAGTAGGCGCGAAGGCTTGCAGATTCAAAGAGCATTGTCCTGACTACTGCACAAGGGAAATCGACAATGTCCTAGACCCCTTGCTAACCCAAACCAATCCGAGTCCCAACCTCCCTTTTCCAACCTCACCCCTGGTTGCTTTTCACCATGTCTCATGCCAGCCTCTCTCAAACTTCATTTGATGTCGTTGGTTGACCTAGGCCAGCACGTCAAACCCTGAGGTCTATCAAACGAGGCAGGCATGACGTCTGAAACTCTGAAAGCTGCTCACCATAGCTTCGGTCAGGTCTTCCTTGTTGTACGCCACACGAAAAGGGAAAGCTCCGTTGCGTGCCTTGTTGTGGTCCAGCTCAATTGTGAGATTGTCCCGAGCCCCATTCTTGTTAGCGTGTATAAACCCAATGGCGTCCATCCAGGTACCAACGAAACAGTCGTCTCCAAGGTCTGCCTTGCGCTCGATGACCTTGGATGCTTGTGAGATTCCAAACATGCGCACATTCAACTGCAAGAGTGCGAAAAACTGCTTAGTGTTAACCTACAAGAAAGTAAGGGCTCGCTGGAAACTTGTGGGGGAATTACATCTGCGCTTTTGAGCACCCGCCTTGGGGATAGCAAGCTAGTCTTCCCAAAGGAGAAGAAATGTGGGAGGGCCAATTGAGTGCCTCGTTATCGGCCAACTTCCAAAGGCAGTAGGCCCATTGCGGTGCCTTTCTAGAATCAAGAAAGCGGTCCAATGTACGTCACCTAGGCTCTGAATTTTGGAACCAACCTACTCAATCAAGAAGAGGGAAAACTTTGTGGCCCAAGCATGATAAGAAGGTACGCCAAAACAGGAAAGTTGATACATGTTTGTGAATGTGCCTGGGGTCAGGAACTCGAACTTACCTGGCCCTTCAAGAGAAGCCTTTCAAACAAGCTCCCTCGTTAAAGAATAGATGACCCCCAAGACCTGAACCTAAGCACTTTTCAGGGGTCATTGTCTGGTTGCCGCCCTGAAAGTGAGTCCAAGTAAACAGGCACTAAACCTCATATGCAAGTTCACTTCCACAGGGTTTGACACAAGCAACCTTTCTGAGGTTTATGGAGGCAAACTAACAACCAGAAACTAGGACCTGAAACAACAGACAAAATTATAGAAGTAGACTGGACCAGCCTCTGGCCATCACAATGATGTACCTCTCACCTGCAAAGCGATATCTGACACCATGCAATAAACCTTGTTTGCCAAGCCATGGAAGTCAAAAGTAAAAGCCTGGGAGGCTAGGCCTGAGGAAATCTGGACAGTATAGTGCGGGTCCAAACAGCCGGAGGACGTGCCCGGGTCTGGACAAAGGAAGAGAGAGTTAGTACAGATTATCTGCATACAAAAGCGGCCTTTGTCACTACACCTGCATTTTGCAAATGTCCAGTCACCATTCCAATACTGACGGCCAATCTCTACATCCTACAGCTCATGTATGACACGAATTCACGTCAGCAGTGCGTGTTCCATTCTGACCAAGTTTTTCTGCGGGGGCGGACACAACCAAGAAAACAATACCAGGTTTGGTAGTTACAACTGTATCTCATTCAGTTTGAAACATACTTGAAGCTCTAACGGATGAAACCCATCAATACAAATACACCCAAAAGTGACCGTCTAGGCTCCTTTTCTGCTTGCCTTTCTACATACACCTCAAGCAGCAAACAAGGGAAGTACTGCTTCCAAGCCAATCTGGTTAGGTTCAATCCACTTGTTCACCTGGTCCTCCAACCCAAAGACTACTTCCTGTAAAGTGCCTGGTCTAGCACCGGGAAATTTCTGGGTGACAAGGGGCTTAATGAACACGGTCAACTGAAGGGCCTTTCCTCAAGCTTTGATCGGGTGGGGGAAGGAAGATGTTTGTCAATCCAAAGTCAGTAAGATCTGGCCTGCAGACTTCCTCTGCAGAAATTGAAGGTGACTCACTTAGGCAGCGGGCCCGGGCACGACCCCCCACGCCAGTAACGGAACCTGCGTCTCCAATGCGATACAGATATGACTCCATCGCACACTCAGAGCTTGTGTAAAAATAACATTGAGTATTATAAAAAGTCCATGCATCGCATGAGGCATCCTCTTTGCAAGAACTACAGCAAGTGGCAGCGTCAAGAATGTCGTTCTTTCGCCCAAGGTTCCCAACACCTGGGCCGAAGGTTGTGACCATGTCAACCCCAGTCTAAAGCTCAGTTGTGCAGCTGGCAACTTCTGATGTTTGGCACAAATATTGATTGACGGGGTTCTCAGACACAGAGCCAGATGCCCCCCCCAAGGCCCCACAATTATTTGTGGAACCGCAGGGCTGCCCATGAACCCCCTGCTGAAAGCAAGCTGTAAGCAGCAGCACTGCTGGGAGAAGGGCACCCAGAAGAAGTGAGGAAGCCATTGAGGCAGGTGTGTCGATGACTGAAAGGGCGCTACCTGATCAGGCTTGTGATATAAAGCAAAGCAACCTTAATTGACCTTTTCAAATTGGATACAAGCGGGCGCCTAGCAATAGGCGGCCTAGCTGAAGGTTTCCATCCACGTCCTCTGTTGGGGTATGAAGGGTGTTCAAGCGCTTCCGACCCTGTTGAGATTTGCAGATTCTGTCAGCGATTGGCAGATTCCTGAAAAGTAGCTTGGCAGCACTTTGCTCCACCAGCTCGCTGCTCAGGCTGCCCCCAGTTTGAGGCAGCTTTGCCAGCTCCACTGAGCTTCTAGAGGCTCATATTTCTAGATATATTTAATTACCGTACTCCAATTTAATGATTCCGAATGAATAATTAATTATTCCCAATCGGAAAGTCAAAATTCAGATTTTGGGTTCGGAAAGTAATATTTCGGAAAGCATAAGATAATTTAAAGTCAAGCTCGTCCAGCCGTAAAATGCAAAATTCTGCACCAAATGACCACTTATAGGGATAGGATATGGCATTCGGAAAGTTGGTCGGAATGTGGAAAATAATAGGCCGTTTCCAGTCGGAAAGGCCAAAAATAATTAAAATTTCGAGCATTCGGAATCATCACGTTGGAGTACGGTATACCGGGAGTAAAAGTTTGAAAAGTGAGGGCCCCTTGCCAAGCTCTTCGTTGCCATTGGCCTTCCTTGCACTCAAGAGGGATCTGTGGCCGCACCTAGTTTCGCTTGTGGAGGATAATTGGTGCAGCATTTGACCTGACTGGGAGTGCTTTTCAAAGTCCACGGGAAAAGAATAGGTAGTCGCCAATCCTAGTGTGCGCTGGTGCCATCTCTCTGGAGTACCTAGCACTTCGATCCATCTTGAAGGAGCTTCTGCAATAGGTGAGAGACATCCCCCTTCCTGTCAGCTGTTCATTCACCCTCTGACCTACTTGTTGTAAAGTTGCACGCTTCACCAGAGTTCTCCCACTGACCCGTGATAGAAAACTTCTCAGACTGTTCAAATTGGTGATAGACAACTTCTCAGATTGTTCTAATTAAAGCCAATCTGATTGGTAGATTGATCGATCCAGATGAATCGATTTAGTAATTCAGATGAGTGGCCTTATCTAAATGCTTAAAGTGGCTAGGTGCGAACAGCCGTTCAGTTTTGTGAAGGTACTTTGCTTTGCTTACCTGATGTTTCACTGTGTCACAGCGCTTGCATCTCGATCCACCCTTCAGTAGAACTACTGATAAACTGTGATGCACACAGTTTGACTGACACGTTTCTTTGTGAATGGCGTTCATCTCAGCATCTGCTTTCAGTAGCTGAGACCTTCAATCCGAATTTGCGCGTCAGAGTGTTTACTTCAGTGAACCTGCATTCTACTTGTTTGTTGCTGCTTTGATTGCTGACGCTGTCCAAGCCTATGCCGGCAGCCACCTCTTCAGCTAAATCGTCCCTGCTCCATTCTGCACAGAACAGTAACTTCACCGCCACCGCTGGCTAGGATTAACAAGCATCATAAATAGAACTTTCATTACATTTATGTTGTGTTTTTCAAAAGCAGCGTGTCTCAAAGCATCCACTTCAGCTCACATAGTTTCCAGCACTTTGAGCGCGGTCAGAGATGATCATGCTCAGCAGAAAGGACACCTGACCAGCGCAAAGACAGAGCTCCATCGCACATGGTTCCGTGTCCTGGCACATAGTGGACATGGAAGACTTGCTGATTTCGAATTGACCTGCCACCAGATCTTGGAATTGCCTCCTCAGACACCTCACTTGATGCTAAAGTGACCTTTCTTTCTGCTAAACCTTTCAACTTTCTTTCGGATCTTTCACCTGCTGTAATCTGCTATCGTATGCAGGGCTATGGCAGCAAATGAGATCAACCCAAGGCAAACATTAGGAGACCGGCCAGTTAACCTTGTGTCCCCCCCTCCAGTTCAAAAGGGTACTGTCCCAACAGATGCAGAAATCGCTGCAGAGGTGGTACACACGTACGCGCTCAAAAAGTTTAAGAGTAAGTATGTGTCCCTTGCTCTACTATGCCTGCTATATATGGTCAGGGTTTGCTCAGGCCAATGCAGATATCGGGAACTGCAGCAACTTATTTGTTTCAAAGTTTGTGTAGTTCCTGGTTCAAATTCAGGTTACACTCCCTTCTGCATGTAGAGTCCGTGCGCTTGCCTCAGCAACAAATAGATCATTTGACAGCCCTCACGAGAGGTTCATCAGCTGGAGTATCCTCAAACCTGACATTACACAGATTGTTTGTGCAGGTAGCAACGGCTACGGTGTCCCAGCTGTCACAGATGACGAGCTTGCAACGGCGTGCAAGCATGAGCACCTGATCTTAGATGCCGGTACGTTACTGCCCGACTTATACATCGAAAGAGCGTGTCTGAAGGTCTTGTGGAATAAACATGTCATAGTCTCTCTCCTACGTCACTCTTGCAGATTGCAAAACAGGCCCAACTTCTTGTGGGGGAAATCCACATAGTCCCTTTTTCTGCAGCTACTACGAAGAGTGCCGACTTTGCTCAACAGTTGGCAACCATCACGAGGCAGAACAACAGAATCATTCAGCAGAATGATGAAAACAAGAACCTGATGAAGGCGTATGGAATCAATGCTCGTGCCATTGCCCACAATGCAAAGCAGACCGATGCGGTGCACCGGCTGAAGCCGCTAGCCAAGGAGAAGGCCGGGGGAGGTAATAGCATTGGAACAGTTGCCCCGCTGATGAGCGCTCCCGGTGGACTTTTCCCCGAGGATGTGCACGAGCTGGATAATATGCAGGCAAATGACATCACTCGGCTTTCCACATTTTACGGTGACGATTTCGGGATCGTTGCCGGAGACACCATCCGGGATAAGGTTCACAAGTTTAGAATGTTTATTGGTTGAGTTTGATGGTCGATGAGGTGGTGTCAAACAACAGGACTTGAGACGATAAAAACATTTCTGAACACTGATCGGCTGTACGAGCTTGGATGGGAAGCAATTGAGATGCTTGATAGTCCTGCGCAAAGATGGTCAAATTTGTGTACTATCCTAAAAGTTTGTGGTCCTTCTCCACAAATAAAAAACTTTAGGCTACTCACTCATGACGATTTATATGATAATTGAGCAAAGTCTTTGTACATGAGAATTGCAACTAAAGTGATGAAGTTGGTGCGCAGTGTACTGCACAGTGGTCAATCAACATCATATGTACGTGGACCAACATAATTGGCATACATCATGAGTCCGGATTATCCTCTGCACTGTCCGGCTGCCAAGAACTGGAAATAAGGATATCGGGCGCCTTGCAGCTGCATCGCTGCATGTGTGTGCAGCTCACACTTGGAATCATAGGCAGCTCCAAGTCTGTTCCGGCCAAACGGACTGACCCCATGTGGGTGGTGCCAGCTAACAAACTGACTTCGACCAATTTCGTTATGTACGACCATTTTCACTCATAGAGCTGCGACGCACAACATGCAATTATATGGTATACTTGTTGCAAGCTTGGTTGAGTCGAATACATACCAGGCAGCCACGTACGGTTGAAAGCTACTCGGAGGCATGTCCTTGTCCGTCTGGTTGTGTACAAATTGACGCACTGCTTTTTCCAATTGCGTAGGCCTTTCTAGCACAAGCAGATCATCTATCATGCATGGCCCGTGCCTTTTATGCTGTCTGCATTCAGAAAGTTCATCTCTTGAAAGTCGAATGATTAAGAGCTCAGTGAGCTCATCAACATCAACAGCTGGAAAACATCTCGAGTTTGTTCTCATAAAACTTGATCATGCGTCGAACAACAAGCATACATAAACGAGTGCATCCGCTTCAAGTTGACATGCCTTCTCAGACAGAATCTGTCTGACACCTGGGCTGTTGTAAGAGTTGACATGGTGGATCTGATCCAACATGCTCTTTGAGATAGCCGGCTTTGCTTTGATGCGGTGCACTACTGCTGTCCAAGCTCTAGACCAAATCTTTTTGTCTTTTGCCTTGCTGACGTCCTCCTTTCCTTCCTTCATTGTGTGGACTCGAGCAGAGTATGCGTCTGAGCTATTTGACACGCTTTGTTTACAAGTGACCAGCCAATCTGCTAAGAGCGCACCCTTTAGAAAAACCAACCTACTTTCATTCAAGACCGTCACTCTGCAGATACCCATGTGTCTGCAAAACACTTCTGTGCTCATTTGAGCAAGGGGAACACTTTCGGGCGACCCGAATAGAAAAGGCAAGCACCGAAAGTTTAGATAAGCCTTTGACAAGTTGACAGCGAGACCAAGGCTGAAAGGCAGATAGAGACAACCATGGCTGCCACCACAGCAAGACCTCTCGAGGAAAAAGAATCTGTATCGCCAGAAACGAGCTCACCGGACTTAAACTCCTCTGAAGAGGAGGTTCAAGCGTGCACTTGTTGTCAAACTCGTCCTCCAATTGAACGGCGAAGTCGGGCCCAAGCCATCCATCATTGTCAGGCATTGGTGGAGGCCCGAACCTGTCCCCCTGCGACTGGTTGCCAGGGTTCCGAAGACGCATGTTCCCGCCTCGCCCTCCAGTTCGGACTCAGAGTCGTTCAACTCGCCCCCAGTCGCACCGTTCTCTGGTTGCACGTCGGTGCGTTCGGTTTCCTGAACAGGATTTCACGTGCTCTTTGTCAGCATTCCTGCCTCCTGGAAGGCCCTAAGGCCTCGAATGATGCAAGCATCACAAAAAAGCTTTGACGATTGAACCAGAAGGACAAAATCAATTGGCCTTTCTGGAACCAGTCTGGTTCGTGTATGACTACTACAAAGCAGGCCTGCTGAGCCCTCAATCTACTGCTAACCAGCTACCAATCCTATTGACAACCTGCTAACCCCCACACCCTTGATTTGCAACTGACCAGCTCCTGACCCTTCTTTCGCTGATAACCAGCCCTTTTGCTTGCTGCTAACCAGCTTCTAACCCTCCATGTTGACTAATACGCAGCTCCTAACCCTCCAGGTTGGCTGCTAACCAGTTTCTAACCCTCAGCTTTGCTGCTAACCAGCTCCTAACTCCCTGCTTGGCGGCTAACCAGCATGCTAACCAACTGTTTTGGTGAGAACCAAAATAAGACGCCTAAAAGCCACTCGACAAAACAGCACAGCTGAAGTGAGCAGACTCACCATGTCTTCCAGAGCCGGACGCGCAACGTTCAAGGGGCTTGCCGCCTCCTCCTCACGGACGACCATGTGCCCCTGAGCGTGCGGTGACTCTAGAGGACGGGGTTCCGACTGGACAGGGCGCTGATCTGCCACGAAGCGCTGATCCGAAGCAGGGGTGCGGCACAGGGTGCAAGCAGGGGCGTCGTCCATCTGAAGGTCTCGGCCAACAGGAGACTGCTCCACCGAGGTGACAGGCTGGTTGGGAACACAGGTTGGCGACCGCAGCAGGTCCAAACGGGAGGGCTGGTCCGCGTCGACTGCTTCGGAGGCCGCCGCCGTCACAAGGGAAGACCTCCCAGGCTCCTGCACATAGCAAAGGAGACATAAACGGAACCCCAACATCTTTGCCGTCTTGACAAAGTTTGCAGAATGATCGAAGTGCATCCTTTAATCCTGCTAACATCATCAGCTGAAGGACTGATTCAAACGCATGACGGCTCTGGGCACGGCCTCCCTGAATTGGAATATTGCTGGCTCTTTGATTAAATTGTCGCATACAACGTCTGCGCAGGCTTGATGGTTTAGTATGACAAGGAAGGCCCTTCACGAAGTGAGGTTGTGCACGCGCCGGGGTGCGGACCCAGTGCCGCCTATCACAGAACCAAATGGCAAATTGGGGGCTGGTTTTAGCCCATTCAAAAACATCGATCTCAGACGTATAAACCACGCAAGAAGGGCAACGTCCAAGCTGTGGCATGAACTATTTCTACCGCTCGCTTAATGACGTCATCAACAAGGCCAATTGAATGCACAAAGATTCCAAACCCACTAAACACACGGCAGAACATGCAATCAGCTCAATGACTGCGGGGAACGAGGATGGACCAGGACCAGACCTCATTAATGCTGTCCTCGCGTGGTACATCAGACAAGGGCGTGGCCCCGCTGTGCCTTGCCCCACCGCAGCTGAGCATGGGGGGGCGTGGTTCAGCTATGGCAGGGGGCAATTCAACTGCAGCCTTAGCTGATGGCGGACTGCCTGGGCCCCCTGCCATGACCTGCAATAGGTTCACAAAGCAAATCGTGCCTGACACAAGCTGATCACTTGGAAGTACTTTGACAAGAGCACAACCGGCAGAATTGGGCTTGAGTTTAATAATTACCGAATCAAGTATGTACCCGTTCTGAAAAAGCTTTCAATAATTCCACGAACTCAGCCCTTGTCTGAAGACACACATCGCTGACATCAGCAAGCTGACAGACGGAATGGTTTATGCCAGAGCTTGGACAGTTTGGAAAGGCTCTGGCCAAGTCCATGATATCAGCTACAAGAGACCGATGACATCAGCAAGCGGGCAGAAGGAAAACAGTTTGCGCCGGAGCTTGGACAGGTTGGACAGCTCCCCTTTGGACAGCGTGCCCTCGTCATGCCCCTCCTTTTCTAGTGACCTGACAATCGATTTCAGCGTGGCGCCTGCTGCCGTTTACTCACCAATGCAAGCCGGGGAGCCAAATACCAGCTAGTATTCAACTTAGCCAGAAAAGTCTTACCTGCTGGATGGCAGGTGTGCGCAACGAGCAGAAGCGTCAATCAATGCGGCGTCTGCTTGTGGTTGACTGGTTGAAGGTGAAACGCAACGCTGGGTCAGTCACATAACTTGAACAACCTGCAAGTGCTGAAAACATACGTTCTGGACTAGACATAGAGGCTTTTTGATTAATAGCAGGGTGTCTTTGGAACCAATAACTTGTCTCACTAAGCTTCCCGGTCAAACAGGAGCTAGCAGGTTCCGAAGGTGGTCAGAACTAAACACTTGACTCGATAATTGTGAGGGCGTAAAACCACCTCATAAGGCTGCGGGCAAGTCATCCAGTGCAGCATAGGACGACATAGCCAACACTCACGACTCCTGACTTAAACCACACAACCAGCATCGCTCCCTTGTAAGTGCCGACTGGGAGGGCTTGCATGCAAGAAAACAGAATTTGAAGGGCATCCTAGCTATTCCCTAGCAAAGTCCCATGTGAAAAAGCTGTTGGTTGACCGTAAGCCATGGTAAACCAATGTAAGCAGGCAACGGGCCCTTCTAATAGGAGCAGGACAGCTGATAGGTTTCTTTTCGAGAAACCCACTTCTTAAGAAGTCTTAACTCAACTGGCGCTGAGACAGCTTTCTTGAATAGAAGTTCTCCTTTCCTGTAGCAGCTAGCGGTGATGTATTTTTAGGAGGCGCAACAAATGCCTTCGCTTGCAGCCTCCTGAAAAACACACCCAATCCTCGAGAGAAACATCTCAAACCAAACTTTTCTGGATGGTTTCCTATTGGCTTCAGAAGAATAATGCATAGAAGGGCAGCTTACCTCAGCAAGTCCCGATTTTCTGGTCCGTCGATCTTCTCCTAATCACGAGACTTGCAGTCTGATAAATTTGAAAGTGCTGGACAACGATCCTTGAGGTGCCTCTTATATCTTGTGCTTTCTTGGAAGTCTACAGTTGCCGCCATTCCCCTGGCAGAAGTATCTAAACATGCTCAATCAAATACGACCCTGCTGAGTTAGCTGTTATACAGCTGGCAGAGAAATGACTGGGGCTGCCATAGCCCGCCACTTTGGACCAACATTGCGCCAGTGTCGGCCATAGCCACCTCACTTGGTGCTCAGCTTGATCAAGTAGTCAGGGTCACCAACGAATGGGCAAGTCAAATGCAAGTTCAGAGCTTAGGCTCTCTGTCTTGTCGCTCATCACCGATATTGGTAATCCAATCTCACGCCTACCCGCCGGGTCCCGACGTGGACCCGGCAGTCAAAGGCGGTTTCCCGTCAGTGGTTAAAAAACCGTCACTTCTGTCCGGCAGCCGCACATTCCCCTGGCGAAACAGAGACTTCAAGAATGTTTTGAGCTACGCTGACCGCCAAGGCTGCTTCGCACTGTCACTCACTGTCAGTGTCAGTCTTTGAGAGTTACTGAGACTCTCTCACTCCTGAGCGGAGCTGGTCACTACATTGAGCAACACGATAACCAACTTGAATAGGTAGAGGATCAGGCGCTTGTTACAGGGCGCACAGGCTATATGCCAGGGGCTGCTGTTTCGCCACAGCCACTATTGCGATCCTCCACCTTGCTGGTTATCATACATTGAGCTGCTTGCTGCGTGTAGCAGGCCTTCTTGGAGCGGCCCAGCCTTTAATGCTGGTGCGGCGTCCCTATTGAAGGCCCATAATAAAATGGGAGCACTGGATACGGTCAATTTTTGCAACAGGCCAGGGGGGGGTCCCATCCCTGCGGAAAAGCACCCGGGGGCACGCGGACTTGCATGTTTTCCTGCATGTACTTACTTTTCGTCAATCATTGGCTAGGGATCCCAACGGAAAATACACCGGGGCTCGGACAGACCCGGGCCCCCATCTATGCAGAGAAACTCATGAATCTCATGGGGCAAAAGGTTCTCGAAAAAAATGAGAACATATATAAAAAGGGCCCGGGCCCCCACTTATGCAGAGAAACTCGTGAATCTCATGGGGCAAAAGGTTCTCCAAAAAATGAGAACATATAAAAAGGGCCCCGGGGGGTACCATTCGATGAATAATCAGTGCCCCGGGGCGTCCACCGGCTAGGGAATCCCACCGGGAAATACACCGGGGCGCGGACAGACCCGAGACCCCGCTCCACAAGCAAAAAGGACCAGCTAGCCTAGGCTCACATGCAGGCCCAAGACTGAACCTCCGGGCCGGGGGTCCCATTCAGGCCTTTCCGGTACCCGGTGGCGTCTACCGGTCAGGAATCCCTGCGGAAAAGCACCCCGGTGCAGCCCCGATCCCCGAACCGGTCCCTGCACCTCTTGTGCTCTATACTCTTCTCTGATTGGCTGTTGAAGTGGAGTGGCGGAGTTGTTGAAGATCCGGACTGGATATCAGAATCCCAAACGCAGTTGAGTAAGGGTAGAGTCATTTTGAAAGAGACCCCCTATGTCTACCACAGAGCCCTCAGCCGCCCAAACGGTCAAGCCCCCCCTCCCTCCCGTTGGTGTCCTGCCTGAAAAGGCCGAGCCCCCCCCTCCCTCCCGCTCCTTATTATTGTTTATTTTCTATTTATTTTACTAGTGAAACATGCACAATCAGCATTATTTCAGCATTTTTCCGAGCGATCTCTCAAGGCTCGGCTCAAACCCCAGGCCCCCGCTCCCCCCAGCACTCCTCGCCGAGCCAAGCCCCCGGCCCCCCACCCCTTGAAGTGGACATAGGGGGTCAGCTTCAAAATGACCTTACCCTAAGGGATTTTGTGGAAAATGTTTTTCCGTGACGACACCCGAAAAAATAATTATTTAAGAATCGCACCGTATTAAAGGGACGAGTGTATTGAACTAG